GGTAAATAACTTGCTCCAAAGAACAAGCGAAGCTGGATATATATATAGAGGATACCTATCTATTACCTATTAAGGTTCCAGAACTCCTAATGGGAGCCTGTACCAGAGGCACCTGCCATCAAAGGATCAGGGAAGGTTTCCAGAAGGAGCTGAGGTCCAAAGGATCAAGAGTTAGCCAGGGAAGGTGTGATAACGATGTGGCAGGCAAGATTCTGGGAAGGAAATAACTAAGCCACAGAGAATGCTCTGGTCCTGGTTCTCCATTCAGTGTTAACTCTTATCTTGAACAGAAAAATATTTACTTTCCTTGCTAAGACTTTGCTTCTATTTATGTTTGGGTATCTCCTCTATTGTAGATAAAAGCTTTCACATTTTCTCCTTTAGTTAACTCTTCAGTTAAGACAGCTAACTTCAAAGCTAAATTTTGAACCACTGGCTTCTGAAAGTTGCTCACATCCCTTAGGCTGTAAATTTCTGGAGTCTGGGGTGCATGTTTCACCTACACGGTGCCTTAATCCATATTTGCTAAATAATTGAATCAACAAAGTGAGAGAACAGCTTAGCCTCAGAAATTTAAAAGAGCTACATTGCTTTATCTTTGCTTTGAAATGCTAGGGCTATCTTACTCTCACGCTTAAAAGTCTATTTGGTAATGGACATTTATTTGTTTTGAACCTTCTGTGATCCCTCAAATCATATACTTATATACCTATGCATATATGTACATATACATATATAATTTTTTTTTTTTACCTATAAGAACTAGACAAAAATCTTCAGGGATAAAGAGACTTAGAGTTCTCACAAACATTCAGAGGATCATTCTGAATGGTGGGGAATGGTCCCTAACCCTCTGCCCTGCAAGCTGTGGTTCTCATCTCTACCCACATAGCAAAACCAGCTAGGAAGCTTATAAAACATATCCATGCCCAGGCACCAAGAGATTCTGATTTAATTGGTCTGAGAGGGATCCTGGGCATCACCTTTTTTGTAAAACTCCCCAGGCAATCCAAACGTGCCACATCTTGGAGAACCACTGGGCCGGAGCAAACATGACTTTTTACCCGGGAGTGAGCAAAATGACAAAGACTGTTCAGAAGGGTGAGAAAGCCCTCAACCTTTAAACTGGGGCGGGCACAGAGAAAGAATGTAGCTTTCCCTGTGACATTCTCTTACTTGTCCTTGACTCCTGGCCCGCATCTCCAAATACTGTAAATATTGTGGGAAGACTCAGAGGTCTGGGCTCAGACGGGTAAGGTAGGAAATGCCCATGGCGCATTCTGGCCTCACAGGCCCTCACCCACAGCCTTCCAACCGCAGGCGACAAAATGATGTGGTTTTCATTACATAGCTGCAAGCAAGGGCCTTCACAGTTAGTGGTCAAAAGGAAGAAAAAGAAAACTACTATTTCCAGCATCAGCAGTGAGGAAGGGATGATCCTCTCCCTCTATTCCAGGCAGAAAGAGAAAGTAATCTGGCCCCCAGGGGAGAGCTGGGACTGGGGACCACTGTGCTGGAGGGGAAGGGAAGGAACTCCAGCCAGAAAACAACTTCATGCCTATCATGGGTATTCTCACCAGCCCGGAGAAAAGTGGTCAAAGAAGCAAAAGAAGAAAGTGGTCCTTTACCCCAGTCTGCTGTGCAGCTGAGGACTATCTCTGAACTTAGCATGTATGTGGATGCCCCCAGAAGCTGTATAGAAGACGTGTGTGTGTGTGTGTGTGTGTGTGTGTGTGTGTGTGTGTGTTTTCTAAGGGAAAGGACTTCTGTTTTTATCAACTTCCTAAAGATTAAGGATGACGACTGGCCCTGAACAATGTCTGCTTTCAACTGAATAGCTATTTGTCACCTGAACACCCTGCCCTGTCAGATTTGCCCAACTAGAGGTGGAGGGCTGGGCCACAGCAAATAACAGAACAACGTTGGTCTTCTACTCGCAGTCTCAGGGATGTAGCATCTCTATGTTTAGATTGTCACCAGCTTTTTCTTCCACTGTAGCTCTGGACTTTAACTTCTTGTCCAAGCACAGGATTCTCTTGGCTTCCCTAAAATCTGCCCTGGTGCTCCCAGACCTGAATCTATTTTCTTTCTCTATTCAAGTTCATTCCCAATAGCCTAGACCTCGTAATTTAATAACCATGATGTGAGTGTTATGAGGTCCTCCCCAGGCTTCTGGATCTTGGTTACCATGCTGACTTGTCACCTGCAGAGTTCTGGGCTGCTCTTCCTAAGTGGCTGACAAAGGGGCAGGGCCAGCTTTTCCTCCCTTGCAGTAGAGTCCTGTCCTTGGCTATTAAGTGCATCTTTTAGAAAGTCCATAAGGAGGATACATTGTTATAGCACTGACTTTGTATATTGATACTACATGAAAACAAAAATGAGAGATAACTACCTAACTACTTTTAAATGTGGGGGGAAAGAAATGCTAATTACTCTCACTTATATAAGCTGCTGGATGTATGTGCCTAATCTTCCCACCGCACAGTAATGGGGCGTGGATCACTAAGTGGGTCAGTTTCCTTTCGTTTCAAAACTGAACACTATTCAGGTATGTCAGTTTTGAAACTTTGCTGATCCTGTGCAGGGCTGTCTCCTTTCAATTTAGGGGAAAAAACATTAGAGGGGACTGTTAACATAGATAGGGAAGTCAGGGAGGGAAGAGGAGCCTGCTAGGCCAAGCCCTCTGCATCCTTCATGATCAACAGTGTAACCTTAAGCCAGTCAATTTACTTCTCTGAGCTTCCTCTCTTCTTCCCTAGGGTAGGGAGCACTGGATACTGGTTTTCAACTTTTTTTTTCTTTGAGCAGTAACCCTTTTTGCCCCCAAATGAAACATATGGGGGAAGGGTGGAATGGCTAAAGGTGTCAACTCTATGGTGACTTGGAATAGTGATCATGATGTAGTGCACACAAAAGCTGAGTTTCAATGCTGTATAACTTACACTTACATTGAAGTTATAAACCAGTGTTACGGCAATAAATATGTACATAAAAACCTATTAGGGAGCCTCCCTGGTGGAGCAAGGGGATAAGCTGCATACTATGAAGCTATGTGCAGCCACTGTAGCTCGAGTTCGATCCCTAGCCAGGGAGCTACCCACATGGTGCAGCAGACCTCGCCTGTCTTGCCCGCTGCTCCCCTCAGCAGTGTATTTCAGTCAGTCTGCATGTTCTATTTCCCGCTCTGTCTCTGGTGAATCCTCTCACCCCCTCACACCTCTGGCCTATACTTCAGTACTTGTATGCATAAATAAATAAATCTGTAAAAAAATACTTGTTAGGAAGGCCAAACTATAAATGTTGCAAAAGAAGAGCTGCCTAAGGCTGCCTTTTAGGTGCTTTTACTGAACCCTGGAATTCTTGACTCATCCTATGATCTATGACATTGTAAGAATGAGGCAGGGCTGGCAAGTGCCCCTGTGCACTCTCATAGCTAGGGAGGGAGGGCCCAGAATGACACCCACATGGTGGAAAGTGGCAGCCTGAAGCATTCCTAGTGAACCTGAATGTTCACTAACCTGAAGTCCCTGCAAAAACAGGTGGAGGAAAACATTTCATTCTGAACTTCTGAAGGTACGCTTAAGATGCATACTTGAAGTTCTCTCACATTCAAGATAAATTCATTTCAATTGATCTTTATTTCAAATCTACCTCTCCAGATTGTCGGACAAGATTAAATGAATTGACTGAGTTTTGCCACAATTTTGAAAGAGGCAGTTTTGAAATCTGTGGTCCTCCAGGTTCTGAAATAACAACCCATTTGTCCTTAAGGATACAGCAGACTCTGAACTCTACAACACTGCAGGACTATCACACACTGCAAATTACTAGGTGGTGCTGAATCTTTTAAAAAAAAAATGGAATGAAACAAAAGCACTGTACTGTTTTTTGAGATACACATTTGATATGAGCTAATCAAATAGTTTTTCAGATTATTTTCCTGGAGGCAGAATTATTCTGCACAGTTAAACAGCCCTTCAGCTTCCCCCTTTGTAATATAGATCTATGTATAAACACCCAGCCCATATAGTGGACTATTTTCTCTCTCACTGAAGTTGCTGAAGACAAGGCCTTTTTGTCAGGGTAAGTGCAGGGCCAGTCAACCTTACAAAAGGAGTCATTTAATGCTCAATTTCCTCAACTTTCCTATGATTAAAAACTTTTAGCCTCAAACCCAGTTATAGTGTTCTAAATTGTTTTCTTTCCCCTACACCCAGTAAATGTTTAAGTTGTGTCTACTCTGCAGGAGTTCACCCCTCCTCCTTTATTCCCCCAATCTGACCTTGAAAACAGAGCTGCTCTCCTTTGCTTTTTTACATACCCTAAACTATTTAAAATTCGGGGCCCTCTGACCTTTTTACAACACTCTTCTTGTCTGACAGCCAAATGCTAATCTGAAAGCCAAGAGGAGGTAAAGGGTCTGGGGGGTTGGGAAGGGGAGGGAGGGAGGTACTATATATTTGGCATCTGTTCAGAAATTCAGAAAATGTTTGTGCAACCACTCCCCCAGCCAGGATCCACCGCACCCCCTGCCTTCCAGCACATTAATAAAAAAAGATGTGAGCAGATGAAATTGGAGAGCCCGAAGGGACACCTAAGGCGGTCATAATTATGTACCCAGGGAAGTCCTGATCACCCTCCCACAAGTCCAGCCAATAGCCAATATCCAAAATTCAGGATCCCTCCCCTGTAACAGCCAAAGTTTAGGATCCCGACCTCTCGAGCTCCCACCCCCACCCTCCAGAGGCAGCCGGTTAAACTTGTGCAACGCCGCCCATTAACGGCTGGTGCGACCCACAGAAGGGCTGACTGACACTCGTTGAGATGGCAGCGCTGTGCACCTTAGGAATCGTGTGGGTGCTTTTATATAAAGTGCAGTGCGCTCACAGGCCTGGAGTACATTAACTTGCGAACCGAATCTAACACATCCCAAGAGAATCCATCTCTCACTCAAACAAAAAGAAAGGGGGGGGGGCCAGAGAGAGACGAAGCCACATTACCATCCTGTCCGGAGCTTTCCAGATACTCGGTCAGGTCACATCCAAAGGCACTGGCGGCTCCCTTTCGTTTCAGCTTCTGCTTGGCACCCTTGTTCTTCATGAGTTAGTCCCAAAGAGGTCGCCCCTCTGTCTCCCCCACCCCTCTGCTTGGCACCGCGCCGAAGACGGTCTCCCGGGTTAGCTCACTGGTTGCAGAGCCGCTCTGGGGGGCCGCATGGGCGTCCAGAAGAACTTGGGCCCGGGGCAGTGCGCATGGACCCCGCGGGGCGCTGAGCCCGGCGCGGGCGCGGAGCCTGGAATCCACCGCGCGCTGCTCCAGGGCCGCGGTGCCGGAGGCCGTGCAGAGCTGGCGGCTGCGGGCGCCCGGCTTGGGAGTGTCACTTCCTCACTTGGAGTCCCAGGGACTTTCACAGGCTCCCGCGGCGTCTTCGGGTGTTTTCCTCTGCTTCAGAGGGAGGGCGAGCTCTCCCTTCTGCCTTTCCAGATGCCCCGGGGTGGGACGAGAGCGCAGGGCACCGGCAGCTGCGAGGGGCGCGGGGACAGCCCAGCGGCGGCGGCGGGTCGTCTCCCTGCGCCCGCGGTCCTGCCTTCAGACGGCTTTGGTAAAGCGAAAAACAAGCATCCTGTCTCTCCGCCCGCCCTCACGCCTTCCTTTTTTTCCTGTCTTACAAATCCTAGGATCATCCAGCTCAGGAAATGCTGGAAGGAAGTTAGCCAGGGAGGGGGGCGGAGGGTGGAAATTTTTGGCAGCTCTGTGCTCGTGTGTGTATGGAGCCGGAGGAAGTAGGTGGGTGGGTTGAGGAGTGCGGGGTGGGGGAGAGAAGGCGCTCTTGGGAGAGTTGTTCTGAGACTCTAGAGATAACTGGGCAGCTCGAGAGGAAATCGCGGCTCTTCTGGGGGGTTGGGGGGCGGGGAGACCCACAGTCCCAGCCGCCAGCTTCCTGCCCCACCGACAGCTCTTTGAAGAGGCCAAAGGTTTAGGCGCGCTGCTTTTGGGATGGAGGGTGCTAGGTGGGACTGAAAAAAAAAAGTCCTGCCTTGTTTTTAATGCTCATTGTCATCGTCTCTTTGACACTTTCTATTTCGGTGCCTGTCTTGTGCTACACAAACACTTAAAGAGGGTGACAGAAACAAAGACAGGAATTCCAACAGAGAAATCTGATGGGGAGAGGTTTTACTCTCTGGCCACTCCCCACCTCCTCTTGGGGGTGGGGGCAGGTACCCCAAACCGAGATACAGATGGCCTCTTTGGACTCAATGCCCAGGAAATCAGATTTCTGGTTACAGATTCTAGCACGGGCGCACACACACACACACACACATACACACACACGCACACACGCGCGCACACACACACACTATTGAGGAGTTTGCCGAATGGAAGTAATTTTGGGGGGAGAATCCACGAATTGAAGTGATCTGATATTCTGCTGCAGCGTAGTGTGGAGAAAGGAGTCTCACAGAATGTTCATAACTTGCTTCAAATTTTCAAGAGAGCATGTTTTTTCTTCTTCAGTTAGATTTGAAATTCCTTGACTTCTGTGTACTCAGCACACAATAAGCACACAAATTCTTGTGATTTAACCATTTGAGGATTAGATTATACTTCCTGTATAAATTCAAATCCATATGTAGGCTTGAAGAATAAGGACATTCCTACAGCTCAGAATTGCTGGCAAAAACCTTATGTATTGTATTTTAATTACTGAATCCCTTTATCATCACTTATCACCCTCTGCATTATCTGTGATTTATGAACTTTGACCTTGACCATCTTTCTTTGTCAGAGGTTACAACTGATGACCTGCCTGTTGAATCTGGGCCACAGATGTGTTGGTTTGGCACAGCCCATGCTTTAAATTATTTTAAAAATTAATTGCCAACATTAAAGTGTTAAGAGATTTCTCATAAGAAACTGGATTTCTGGCTTCTCTTGAAAAAAAAAAATAGATGATCTAGTAACACTGAAAGTGCTTTTCCACATGGGAACGGCTCCTGGTGCCAAGTTGTGGCAGCCCCCTTGGAGGCACCCTCTGGAAAAGACATAAGTCCTCCAGCTTCACAGTCCCCGTGGCCTGTCCTCCCTCCTTTGCACCTGTCAGGCCTCAGAAGCCACTTGAGTTTGTGGCCCATGCTTTATGTCACCTTCCTTCCATTTTCGGTCTGTCTCAGTGACACTAACATTGCCCCAGTCATCTTGGCGAGACATCCTCAAGTAACCACTGACTCATTTCTCTCCTTCCTCCCACACCTCCAGGCTAGTCCCGCCCAGCCTGGTGAGCCCTTCAAAATGCCTCTCTTTGGGGTTTCTTTCTTTTCAGGCCCCTCCAGTGAGGATCAGTCACTCAGTTCTTAGACTAACACCTACTAGGGCATGCTGAGTCCACTCTCTTCCTACTTCTTCCATTCTATGTGCTCAAGCCCTGATCAAACTTTGTGAAGCACTCGTGTTGTTGCAGGCTTGCTCAGAACTCCTCAATGACTCCTTTCCTACTGCCAGGAAAACAATTTCTAAGTTACTTGGTGAATACTCAGTGGGGTATTTAGTATACTGGCTTGCTCCATTTGCAGAGAAGGATTCCCATATGAGACTGTAATTATTACTATTAACTTGAAGAGTTTACTTTGGCAACAGCATTCATATTTGTCATTTCGTCTGACTTACAGTGAGTTTCACCACTCGGTCAGCAAAGGAGAGAGACTGAAGGAGCACTTTTTTTTCTGGGGTTCAAGCTCTCAGGGCACAAATTATGGATAAATTGTCAACCTTGTGCATTACCTTTTTAAATCCTTAAAAATATTCTTTTTAATGTTTCATTTTGACTAAGGACAGCTTATTAAAAAATTGCAAAAAATAGTTAAAGAATTCCTGTTATACCCTTCTCCTAAATGTTGGTATCTTACGTAACCAGAATATTATAATAACCAAAATCTAGGAAATTTATATTGCTATTAAGTAATCAGTAGGTCTAACTCAAATATGAATTAGAGCATTACATAAATTTTTTATTAAATATAATCTTCCTTACAATAAAGCCCACCAGATAAGTGTGAAAAAAATAATTTACCTGTTATTCTCAAAACACTTCACAATATAACATTAGCTATGTACCAGACCCCTTGAGCACCATCAAACCCAGGAGGTGAACTGGGCCACCTAGTTGAATCAGTAAAACTAGTGACACAGCCCTGAGATTCTTCTGTGCTTTACTGAGGATCCCCCATATTCTCAACAACTACAGAAATTTCAACCTGGAATAGCCTGAGATTTTCTGGTCCCTGCTTCATGATAATTTGGGGTCAAATTTGTTTAGGATTCAGGATCAAGGTAATAATGAGCACCTAACTGGCATTCATTATGCCTGGATAAATTGAACAAAACTTATTTGAAATCTGTACATGGTGGTTCTTTGTCTCTATTTGATAATTCTCAATTATTGACACCTGAAGGTGGGAAGAGCTCAATTTATCAGGCCACATAATGAAGATTCATGGTGACAGCCTGACATAGGCTAGAAAACTATCCTCTTTCCCATTTGCTCCCCGCCCCTTCTCGTTGCTGAGCATGCCCTGTGATAGGTGCTGAACTTAAATCTAGCCTTTGTTCTGGACACTTTTTTTCTATTTCTCTTTCTCTTTTTCTACTTATCTCTTTCCCTTATCATTTTTCTCTTTCTCTTTGCTTACTCTAACGTGTCTACCTTTTTCTGGAAGGTATCTTTTTCTTTTGTGGCAGAAAATCACATTTGGGTCCCAAAGGGTTTTTCCAGTAGGCTTAAGATTTCCAAGGAAACAAGGATTTCTGGAGTTAGTGCAGGAATATTATCAGGAGGACTAATGGTGATGACATAAATTACCCCTTTAACAGATTGTCAATGTGCAAATTTTCTAAAAAGCACTTTGCTCTATGGTGCTACTACAGAAGAGTTCAATTGTTGCCTATGATCTATCTTATCTATCTTATCTGCCTATCAAATTGTGCCATCTGCCTCTCTGACTCACCAAGATGTAGCAGTCATCTCTGCTGTAAATAAGTAGAGCCAGAAAAGAGAAGGGGGTATTGGGGGATGTAAATGTCACTGTGATCTACGCTTCTTTTTTACCCAGTTTATCTATAAGACTAGAGTTAGCAAATCAGCAATTTTAGAATTCTCCCTCCTCTCCTAGTGCCTGACTAATTAAATACTCTTCCTCCTGGTTACTATGTTCTGGGGTACTAGAGTGTCAGCTCAAGCTCTTGCTTGAGCTCTCGCCACCCCTCTCCCAACTTAAAGATGCTACTGCTGTCACTACTTGTTGGGTGTTATGGGTTGATTGTGTCCCCCACTCCATTTATATGATGAAGTCCTGACCTCCAGTACCTCAGAATATAACTGTATTTGGAGATAAGGCCTTTAAAGAAGTGATTAAATGAGGATATTAGAATGGGTTGTAACCCTGTGTAACTGATGGCCTTGTGTGAAGAGGAGCTTTGAATACAGAGACACTAGGCGTATATATCATAGAGAAAGGAACATGTGAATCATGCAAGAAAGTGGCCACCTGCAAGGCAAAGAGAAACCTCAGGAGAAGCCAAACCTGCTGACATCTTGACCTTGGGCTTGTAGCTTACAAAACCATAAGAGAGAAAAAGGGCTTCCAGAAAGTTCTATCCCAAGCTCCAGTATTGCATTTCCCTGTGCTTTTTTCCCCGATTTAAATTATGCTGCAAATTGTTGCTTCTCAATGTCCAAATGAAGTTGAATAAACATCCCTCGTGGGGCTAGGGGAGATCTGTATTACTAATCTAATTGAACATAACAGAGTGGAAGAGAGTCAACTTGATTGGGAAAAAAGGATGATGAACCAGAATCAGTCTCCCTATCCTAGATACAGGGACAGCATTTACCTTGTCAGCAGTACTCCTGAAACTATCAGCTGACTTCCCTTTTCTCTACCATCTCTACTACCATAAAAGCCAGTTTTGTTTCTAAGTGGGCTTCCAAGAGCAAGCAGTTGTGATAAGAATGGAGGTGGAAGGGTGCTTTAATGACCACACTCCCAGCTTAAAAGTTGTAGAACAGACATTGCATAATTATTATATATAAATATATTCTCTCTCTCTCTCTCTCTCTCTCTCACTCGCTCTGTGTGTGTGTGTATGTGTATACATTTTAGTTCCTTCTCAGTGCCTAGAGTTGCAAAACTGTATAACTCAGGGCACAAAAAAATGTATAATTAAATAAATGTGTTGCTGGGAAACACTGCTTTATAGCCTCCCTCCCCAGCTAAGAATGTGATTCAGTTGCTTCATACAACCATTAAGTAGGCATTTTGGGGAAGAAAAAGTCAAAGGTGAGAGGATTGTAGGAATGAAAAAGACTTGATTATAAGAATGAAATCTTACTTTTTCTAATAATATTGCACTGATTGGGGATCCTACCAGTTATTTCAGAACCTCAGACTATTTAAAAGACTGGATGTGAGTAGAACCCATGATGATTCCAGCTGATAAAATTGAGGGTAAGCTTAAAAGCTAACTTTTGGAGAAATATAAGACATGTTTCTCTATATGTTAATAGCTACAAATAAGCTTTCAGAAGGCAATGTGCTTTGATAGCATAAAATGTAGGACTGAGTAGAAGTTGCGAGATTAGGACTAGAGATTACACGAGGCATCTATACAAGTGTTTGAAATGATTTAAGAAATAAGGTTCTCCCCACCAATTCTTCAGTTATATTCTGATTTCTTTGAAAATTGACTGCAGAACTGACGCTACCAGAAGGGGAGGAGAGGTGAAGTCCAATGGACCATCGTGGAGGATTTATTGGGCGGTGGTGGTGGGAGTGGTTTGGTAACA